AAGAGCAATGTCACGAAATGAAATGATCAACAGAAACAGCAATAACGTTTCCTAAAAGAGAGGCCATAGATTTCAAAAGGTATCCATTGAATGCAGCACAGGTATCACAAATTTAAATCTTAGCTACGTAGGAAATGCACCTCCACTGGTTTTCCGCCATTACCTGTCCCTCTGAATATATAAGAAACAAAAAAAAAACACAGATGCAAGAAGAGAACGTTAAGGAAGTTTGAACGATGATGACGATTACAGAGAAGCGCTTTAGATGAACAAAAGTTAACGAACAGTTTGCAATCAATCCAGAAACCGGACCTTCAAACGTTTATACACCGCTACACCCCATAAAGTTTACAACAGCGTAAGATGCTTCTAAGCGGTAATTGAAGAGATACAAACAATAAACCGTTCCAATCACTGATAGCCATGTTATCAAATGCCCCCCCGTATCGAGAAATAATGAACTTAGTAAACACAACATCAAAAAACGTTCTCTTCAGAAAAAAACAGTAGCAAATCGGAAAAAACTCGAGCAACCTAGATGGGTGCCAGTGTTATGTTTCTGGGTTATATTTGACTACGCGTTGTATGCATGAGAAAACTGCTGATCCTGCGGAAGAGCCAAATACATAAAGTATGTGCAACACTTTCCGCTTAACGCGCCCTCTCTCTGCTCGTCTCTATACCTCCCTCTAACGAACTCTGCCTTTGTCTCTCGGGGCTCAGGACGATGACAAAGCTAAATCGCTGCAGGAACACCACGCTCGAAACCGGTTATGCGCTTTGTTCACGTTCACAGTGTGGGCTTCGCACTAGGGTGACTGCCCTTCCTCTATTGCTCTGCTATTACCGCTGTTCGCAGCCCAAAGATATCAACCTGCAGTCGGCAGTTAGTCTTCCTCCGCTCACCCTCCTTTCCTACCGTTTTATAGTGCTTTCATACGGTATACGCTCACTCTGCCAAGATTTCTATAAAGCAAAGAGGCGATATACACAGAAGTTGGAGGGGAGGAAAGGGTCTTAGGGACAGGACTGAATGGTCGGAAAAACGATAGTACACTGCTTGATCTGAATGCTGTTCTAGGACCTTTCTTCTGTATCTGGCTCTACTGAATTTATTGGTGGTGATCCAATGTTTACACAGTACACCGGAACGCCTAATTATACATTATATGGGCCTATAAAGCACAGATGATAAGAAATGCACGGTAAAATTTTATGCCATATTGTATGCCGAAGAATACACAGCGTTAAGATTTCATAATGATTAAAAGTTTTTTTCAATATACAGATGAAAAAAAAGAACCATGCGCTAAAAACTTATTCTGAAATTTTCAATCTGTAGCTTTATTTTTATTCGTCTTCTACCTCCATGAAAAATCATCCTAAAAACTCTCAGTAGGCAGTCAGTTGTACCCATCTATTACTTATAGGGTCTCGCCGATTCGTCAATGGAGTGTCAACTTGAGCTTTGAGGGTGTCACGCGGTATACGCTTACTTAGCGAAGATTGTGATGCAAGAAAGTTGTTGATGCGAAAAAGAAACTACCTTACAACGGAATATTGCTCAGAATTTACGAAAAAACGAACTAAAAACAATGTGTTATTCAACAAATTAATATGGTTGAAAAGGGAGAGGAGTTTGACGTCTGCAATTATATAAAATGAATTTTGCTAGAAAAACAAAAAATTTTGGATTAAATACGAACTAGGAAGGCAAAAATTTGCAAGAATGATTTTTGAGAATTGGAATTTATTATTATACAAGTTAAAAAAAAAGAATAAAAAATGCATACGTGCTAACGCTTGCTATGAAATGAATAATTTTTCACTTAACCTGACATTTTCTAAACAGCACCACTTTACTTGGCACAAATCAGACTGTTTCATCGGTTCAAATTTCCAAAAAAAAACGTTAAAATTATCATCAGCACATATGACACCATAACAGCAGTACCGTTCCATACCTACCACCAAAAAATCTCACACATTATCTAACAAATGTAAGCTTTTCCAAGAAACAACCTTTGCAATATTTATTCAGCAGATACAATAGCTGCCCAACTGTAACGGAAAATTGCTGCAGGTTTTTTTTTTTTTTTT